AGTAACAGTCTTCTTAAGAGTCTTAAAGCTGATATCTGAATCTGTTACTTTCTTAATGAAAATACTTACTTATAAGAAGAGACTGCACTGCAGTGCTGTTGTCTCACAAGTATAAAAAGCATTGATGAACTCAGAATTCCAGATCACTGTAATATCTCTAAAACTCACAGAGTGAATAAGCTGAAAGATGAAAACTGAGAATCTACTCTTATAATAAGCAGAGTATAAGAACTCAGATCTGAGAGCTGAGAAACTTATAAGAATTATCTTTGAATTACAAGATCTCTCTGAAATCTGAAGAAGATTTACAGAAACTATAATTATTACAGACATCACAGATAACATGTATTTAAGACTTGTATAGCTTTAAAGATACAATTTATACATAGCTATCTATGAGTCAGATTTATACTTCTGATTAGTGTTAACAGACTTACTTATAAAGATAGAATCAGTTGATACTGCAGAGTTAATTAGAGAAGACAAGCTTATCTATATAATAACTTTACAAGTGTCTGAGAATCTTGCAGTCATGAAAACCAAGCTTCAGATATCAGAGAAATACTGAGATCTTATAGAGATATTCAGCTTAGTAAAAATAGCTGAGCTTTCTTCTCACTATGAGAAGAATCTGATAATAGATTTGATAGAAGAGTAGAAACTCTTCTGAGAATCAATCTATAAGCTCTCTTATTATGAGACAGAAATCTTACAGATCTATATGAAGAAGAATCTGAAGAATAACTTTATTCAATCTTCACAGATCTCTGTGAGAGCCTCTGTAATATTTGTGAAGAAGAAGAATGAAGATCTCAGATTGTGTATAGACTATTATAATCTGAACTTTAAGATAATAAAGAGCTGCTATTCTCTGTCTCTAATTAAAAATGTAATTAACTGTCTCACAGAAGCTGTCATATTCATATAACTGAATGTGATTAATGTATATATACAGCTATGAATACAGTCTGAGAATAAATGAAAGACTGTCTTTAGAACTGTACTGAAATTATTTAAATATCTAGTAATATCTTTTTATCTGACTAATACTCTTATGATATTTCAGTCTTTCATTAATAAAACACTTTATATATATCTAAATGTCTTTGTAGTAATATATCTGAATGATGTGATAGTGTACTTTATAAAGAAGAAAGAACACACTGAGTATGTATAAAGTGTGTTAAAGATCTTAGATGAGACAGAACTGTATATTAAGCTTATAAAGTACAACTTCAGTGTCTATTAGATTAATTTTCTAGAATATATAATCACTACAGATGATATTCAGATGAAATCTTCACAGATTAAGACTATTCTATTATAACTGAAGTTAACTAGTATTCATAAGATTCAGATCTTTCTGAGCTTTGTAAATTTCTATAGATAATTTATTCTTGTATTCATAAGAATCTTCTTAGCTCTTACAGACATGCTGAAGAGTGAAAATAAGAAGAAGTTATTTCATAAATAAAGAATGAAAAGATTGTTGAGAAGAAAGAACTGTGAGAACTTTCTTATCTCAGAAGCTCACAGAGTCTTTATAAGATTAAAATAAATATTTACAGATACAGTGATACTGTTTCACTTTGATCTCTTACTCTTAATCAGATTGAAGATAGATGTCTTCTTCTTTATAATTTCAGAAATAGTCTTATAACTACAGTTAAATGAAAACTGAGTTTCAGTGATCTTTTTCTCACAGAAGATGCAACTCATAGAGATTAACTATGATATTTATAATCAGAAGCTTCTCATAATAGTAAAATTCTTTCATTACTGATATCACTACTTTGAGAGTCTTATAACAGTGATTACTATTAGAACTGATTATAACAGCTTATAATAGTTTACTTCAATTAAGAAACTCTTACAGTGACAGATTCACTGAGCTCAGAGACTGAGTAAGTTCTGATTCAAGATAGAATATATTAAGAGAACTAAGAACTCAGCAGATAAACTCTCTCACAGATCACACTATGTTAAGAAGATCAGAGTGATAGACACAGAGAGACTAGAGAAGATAGAAAAGCTTTATAGAATGCTCAGACTGAGTATTATGAAGAGATTAACTGAAGAGTCACTTAATTCTCTGTGAGAGAAGAAGAAAGAGAAAGAGAAGAAGTCTGTATAACTACTCTCTATAACACTGAGAGTTAACACTCTGAGAATCTCTGTGAGAATTCTTGAAGAGAGTATCTATAATCTGAAGAGTTTACAGGCTTTGAGAAGTGCTGTAGAAGATCTGATATAAGAGAAAACAGAGTATAAGTCTTTATAAGATCTTCTATTCAAATTGTCTGAACTGTAACTGAAGAATGAATATACTCAGTATATTCAGAAACTGCTTACAGCAGAAATCAATCCTGTAGAAATAAAGAATTAAAGAGACTTAAATAACCTCTTATAAAGAGAGAATCAGATTTATATGCCTGTGAATAAGTTTCTATACATAGAACTTATTAAAAGGTATCATGACTCTTCTCTAGCAGATTATTTTACAGATACTAGAATTTATAAGTTACTTATAAGAAAATACTTCTAACTAAAGATATAAGAACTTATAAAGAAGATAGTGAATTCTTATACTATTTATCAGAGTTCATGAATAGTACAGTTCAGATTATATAAAGAACTTACTTCTCTACTTATCTTATAAGAACCTTGAGAATAGCTAGAAATGAATGCTCTTGTAAGCCTCTCTGAAAGCAAGAACATATATAATGCCTGCTTTGACAGTGTGCTAGTAATAGTGAATTGCTTTATTAAGATGACACACTTTATACTCATCTGCAAGAACTTGAAGTCAAAGAATTTGACTTATATCTTTATCTATAATGTGATCTGATTGTATAAGTTATCTGTAAATATTATCTCAGACAGAGAATCAATCTTCACAGAAGAGTTCTGATCTGATCTGATAACTATACTGAAGATCTTATGAGATCTTAGTATGACTTTTCATCAACAGACAGATAATCAGACAGAACATCTGATGAGTATATTGAAACAGTATCTGCAGTGCTTTGTCAATTATAATCAGAATAACTGAGTACATTGATTATCACTTACAGAGTTTATATATAACAACTCAAAGCATGTCAGTACAGATAAAACCCTCTTTAAGATGCTTACTGAGACTTATTTACAGATGATCTTAATAGATCTGCAAGAGTACACTATAAAGTATGATAATGTCTGTGAACAGACTGAGAGAATTCAGAATATTCAGAAGAAAGTCTATGAATTCTTGAGAAAGATCTAAGAGTATCAGAAGAGATACTATAACTTTAAGTATATTATAAAGAGTTTTAAGAAAGATGATAGAGTCTGACTGAGCCTAGAAAATATTATTATATGAAGATCTAGTAAGAAGATGAATCTCTTACAGACAGAGTCTTATAAGATTATAAAGAAAATTAGTTTACAGTTCTATAGATTGAAACTGTCATCTAAGTTATAAATATACAATGTTTTTTATATCTCTTTACTCTGTGAATATAAGGAATTCTTAGAAGAGAACTCTGTGACTCATCACTCTATTTATAAAGTACTAGAGAGTGAAAGAGAATATCAGATTAAAGAGATTATTAACTCAGAGAAGCAAGATCACAAGCTCTGATTCAAGGTTCAGTGATAAGAGTATTCTGATAAGATGAATGAGTTTACTTAAGAATTATCTGAGTAGATAAGATATCTACAGAAGCTGAGATATAACTTTTATACTATGAATTCTGATAAGTCAGAATAATGCAGTCTTCACTAAGAATCTGATTGTGACAAAGATATTAACACTGTTATTTATGAATTCTAGTCTATAAGATAATAAGTTTCTACTGAGATGAACAGTCTGCAGTGTATATAAGAAAAGAAGAAATTATATTCTCATTAAAGCTAAAAAATAAGAAAATAAACAGAGCTGTGAACACAATTTAGAGACTAATAAAGAAAAAATAAAGAAAATTCATACTTATATTCTTAATATCTGTAACTGTAACATGGCGGAACTGAAGTGATGACTAGTTAGTGATGACATGTAGAGATAGTTATTTGAGAAGCTGTATAAGTGAACTTGACTATCTTACTTGAATAGTGAGCTTATAGACTACAGAGTTATTGCAAGAATATCACAGATATAATACTTAGTATACTAAAAAGATTGTATGAGGCACACAGTAACTCTTATATATATTTCAGTAGAAGTAAAAGACAAATCACTGACTTTTTAAATGAGAAGTCAGTATCTAGCTATTCTATAGAGACAATGAGCAGATACTCTTCTCTCATTTCATAAGTAAGAATAGCTGAAGTGATACCTCAGCAGTATCTCATTATTAAGAAAGAGTAATCTACTGATCTTGTATAAAAGCAGAGTTCTTATATTTATTAATTGAATCTTTCTATGATACATCTGAATGATGTCATAGAGTGATTGAAAACTGATTTAAACAGAATGAAATTATTCATATAAAAGTAATAAGCTGTGTAAAACTGTAACAGAGTCTTGATACAGCTGAGAGCATGATAATACTCTTCTCTTTAAGAGTATAGTCTCTATACTCTCAAGATTATCAGATTAGAAATTATCTTTGTTATATAACAATAGTTATTAATCAATTGACAGCACATGTACTGTATATAATACAAAGAAATAGATGAGTTTTTCTGCTGACTGTGTAAATCTTTCTTTTCTCATCTTCATTCAAATTAAATATGTGATAAGTGAGTTCCTTATATATTGATTTGAAATGTGAAAAACATAGTTAACAAGTGACTTACAGATCTCTCAATATATTTCATTCTATATATGAAATTCTCTGCAAAAGTGATATATTTTAGAGATAAAGTTAACAGTAGTAGCAGGATTTTTCAAAAAGATTCTCTTCTTCATGAAACATTTTTCTTTCCCCTCTCTCAATCATAATAGTGAGTGTATGAGAGTATCATTCTTGAAGAACAATCAAGGGCTTATTCTGATGTTTTCTAGTGAGTAAACATCTTCATGGTGCAGCAGCGGTCTCTGTGACTGTCAAGAAAGCCAGGTTGAAGATGAAGACAGCAGCATTACTGAGCTGCAGAAGCACTGCTCTCATTGCCACATCTTCTCCTTCTTCTCCTACTTCTCTTGCAGCTGTGACAGTAGTCACCATGCTCTGCAGTGAAATGTTGTCCCTTCTGCCAGTCAGTTCATTCATGTCCAGTCCTTCCCCTGCCTCCCTCATCGCCGTTGCGACGCCGCCCCCCCCCCCCCACTAATACAGTGACATATGACCCTGTGTGATCATTCAGAGAGGAACTCAGAGAGAGGTTGATTCTGAGAACAGTGGCTCTGAGAAGCTCAATCTGTAGTTCCTCTCTCACATGCCTGAGCCCTGCTCAGAATACTGCTGAGTTAAGTCTGCAGAATTCTGCAGTTTCTTCTTCTTCTCTCTATGAGAAGACTTCAGTGCAGTCTCTGATCAGTATCATCACTTGTCTGTGCTGTATTAAGCAGCTGAAGAAGAGAGAGATTCTGTGCATTTATCTCTTCTCTCACTTTCATTGTTTCTGTTGCATCTGTAACAATAACTTCTATCTCTCTGTAAGTATCATCTACTCTACAAGAAGATGTCATATCAGCTCTGACAAGAAGCTCAGATGCTCAAGCAGTACAGAGTGAGAGTCTCAGAGCTTTAAGTGTTGACAGATTTTATCAAGACTGAGAAGATTCTTCTTACTCATCTGTAAAAGAAGACAAAAGTGTGAATCTTCAAGATAAAAAAACATCTCAGAATGACTGATTCTAAGAAGAGATCAGCTGATATTATCATTGAAAGCACTGCAGAGACTAATCACTGATTAAAGAGAATCTCACTTCAACTAAAACAGATGACTGAGATACTTTATAAGTTAATAAGTTGATATTTTATACATTTCTCATGCTCTTCTGTGACACTGCAGTACTAACTTCTCAGCAGATAAAGATGCTAATGTCAGAGACTTCAACAGTGAAGAATGAGTTTGATGAGAGTGTGATTATTAATAAGTAGACTCTGAGATTCTCTCTTTTTACTTTTTCAGTGAGCTGTGACCTTATTAGATTAGCAGCAGTCTGTGAGTCAATTAATATTAATCTTTTTATTAGTTTCAAATATTTCTTTCTTTTCTTATTAACTGCTTCAGGAATTTTACACTTGTGTAGTCTCATTAAACTTCTAAAAAATCCTTTGAGAGAAAATAGAAGAAGAGTGCTACAGAGTCTACAAGACATCAGCTTATTATTATGAAATCATCTCTAAAATACTCTTTAAGAAAAACAAGAAGTCTTAAGTAGTATTTCTTGCTCAATATCTCTGATATGTAACAGAGCAGTCTCTACTAGCTGTCTCATAGCTTGTAATCTCTTTCTCAGCATTTTTCAAATGCTCAAACAGTTCTTATAAATTCTCTGATAATGAATAATCTTCTCATTTAACAAGATATTAAAGCTTACTGTAATATATTCACTTATTCAATATTTTCTTCATAAGATATTTGATATTACTCTCAATCTTGATATTATCTGACTGAGACAGCTTCACTCTGAGATGTTGCTTATAGAGCTTCAAATAGAAAATATGAAAAATAGAATAAATTAATTTCAATTCTGTGAATAATTTCAACTCATATATCTGCTTACTCATCACTCTTGTTATTAAAAAAGATTCTAGTCACTACTCACTGAGCTTCTTACACAGTCTCATTATCTTGATATTCTTTGCTGAAAGTAGCACTTAATTCTCTATTAAGAACTTCATTGAAAGATGTTTTTAATTATAGTATTTCATCTGCTGCTTCTGAGCATAGTGAATGCTTTTTATCATCTTCTTATAAATTTTATTCAAAAGTTTCAATCTCACTTTTACTTCTAACACTGAGAGATACTTCATTCTCTGTATCTGTCTGACATTCTGACTGTCTATTTCTCTCTTTGAAACATCATCTGCAATATCACTGAATAACAAAGAATTATATTCATAACAAGTATAGAAAGAAGATATCTTTAAGATTGTATTCTTTGTATTATTATATATAAATTCAGCAGTTAGAAGATGTTTAGATCAATCATTCTGATAATATAAACAGAATACTCAAAAATGCTGTTCTAGTATCTGATTCTGATATTCAGTCTGATCATTGATCTCCAGATGAAATGCAGTACTAAGAAGACATCTTATTATAAAATGATAGCAAAAAGCTGATCAGTATTTACTGATAAAGAGGAATTCTCAATCTATTATCAATGATTTCAGAGCATCATGATCATGAATAATAATATCTAAAAACAGGTCAGTCAATTCAGAGGCTTTAATCTTTTTATAAGTAAAGATATATCTGATTATCTTTGTGAAGCAGTCAACAATGATCAAAATTAAGTTATATTCTTTGACTCTTATCAACTTCAGCAGATCAACTATGAAATTTATCAATAGATTCTGTCATAAGTTCTTTGAAACAGACAGTGATGTCAACTCACTGTATTACTTATATCACAGAATCTTTATTCTTTAACAGATATTATAAGTTTCAATATACTCTTTGACATCTGTTCAGAGCTTGTCTCAAGTATATTTATATTTTAAAAGCTTCTCAGTCTTCTCTAATCTGAAGTGCTCTGTATAAGAATCATTATGATAAATTCTCAATAACTTCTGACACACTGCTCTGCTACAAGAGACAAAGACTGAATCATTCAGTAGTAGAAGTTCACATTCTTCTAGTTATCAGTAACTTGATTTCTTAGCAGCACTGTCTCACTCAGAGTCTGTCTCTTTCAAGTTTAAATCAGATTCTTTCTTCTTCAACTTCTGAATTTAAGCTGCAGTAGAGACATCTCTCTTCTGTAACTTATTAATAAATTTCAAAAGTAGTCAGATTAAAAGATTGTAGACTGTTTCATTCTTTATCAATTCAATGATTATAAGATATAATATAAGAAGCTCATGATCTTCAGTGTCAGTTCTCTGCAGAGACTCAGATTCTCTTTCATCTTCTATACTGAGTTATACAGCTGCCTCTTCAGCACTGTTTCTGAGCTTTAGAGAATCTCAACTCTCTGCAGCCAGCTTCTTCTGCAGTGATGACAGAGATTCTTTTGTAGAATTCTTCTCTGTATCAATGATATTATAATCAGACTATCTAGACAGCATGTCAGCAGAGTTAAGCTGATCTGAATAATATCAGATATAGAAATCATACTTTAAAAGCAGCTTCACTCACCTGACTTAACATTCTGTCAAGCTCTTTGTTATTAAGAAGTAACACAGATTTGCATGATTAGTGAGAACTTACACTGAATACTTACTACTCTGAAGATAATATCATCAGATCTTAAAGAATTCAACAATTACTAACATTTTCTAATCATGAATATCATATCTTCTCTATGTGAGTGATAACTTCTTGAAGAAGAAGATCACTGATCTTTATTCACAGCATCTTATAGACTCTGTGAAAAAGCCTTCTCTTACAGACAATTTATTGTCTATTTTCTCAGAAATGATTATTCTCTGATTCTTTCAATATTGAAAGATCTTCAGTGTCAACTGTGAAAAGATTTCACAGATCTCATTCTCAGATGCATCAGTCTCACACTGACTAAGTAAGTCAGAGTTAAAATGATTCAGTATTGTGACATCTATGAAAGCTTGTTTCAATTTTACAAACATCTACACAGTGTCTTAAGTGAGAATAAACAGTCTCATTTTTCTGTCTTTCACACTTTTCTTCAACAGATCTGTAAGAGGGGCAGTAATTCATAAATATGCATAGATGAATTATCTGTAGAAATTCACAAATTCTAGAAACATCTACATCTCATAATATGTCTGTGATACTGATCAGTTCTCAATGACAGAGATTCAGCTCCTGTTCATTGAAATGTCATTCATCTTAATAATATAATCTAAGAAATCAATCTCCTGCATGTAGAACAAGCATTTTTCAGTGTTTATATAAAGTTGATACTGTCTCAAGTGACTCAACACTTCTTGAACATGAGTATCATGTTCTTTCTCTGATTTTGAGAAGATTAAAATGTCATCTAGATATACTATGCAGAAGACATTGACAAGGCCCTGCAGTGTCTCATTTATATAGATCTGAAAGATGACTGAAGTATTACAAAGATTAAAAGATAAAACAAGATATTCAAAATTGCTGTACTTGATACAAAAAGTCATTTTTCAAACATTGTCTTCATTAACTCTGATTCTATGATAGATATCTTATATATCAATCTTTGAGAACATCTTTACTTCAGATAATCAATCAATCATCTCATCAATTAACAGTAATGAATAGCAATTCTTAACTATCATCTTATTAAGGCCTCTGTAGTCTACACATAGACATAGTCTATCATTCCTCTTAAGCATAAAGAGTATAGATATCTCTGTCAGACTCTTTAATGAATGTATTCAGTTCTTTGATTGCACTTCTTCAAGATATTTGCACAGAATATTCAACTTCTTTACAGACAAGTTATAAAGAAGTCTGTACAGCATCATTACATCATCTTCAAGATAAATCTTATATCACATCTTGATATCAGAAAACTTCACTGCTTCTCTTTTCAAAAAGACATTCTTAAAATCTGTAAAGAGACATCATATATATTCATCTTTAATGACAGATACTGCTGCTAATCTTGCAGTAAGAGTGATGACTTCTCTATCTATTCTCAAGTCTTAATCATCTGCTATACAGTATATTGACTCAATCTTTTTCTTAAGATTCTTCTGATGAAACTCTTCAGATTTCTCTATCACTATCTCTTCATCAGTAAGACAGTATCATCATGTCTGAGTAACTCAGTCAATGAGAGAATTGTTTTCTCTCAATCACAGAAGATCTAGAATGACATTCTCATCTATAATATTAACTGTGTGAAGAAGCAGACTGCTCTTCTTGAAGATTTCTTCTGAGTCTGTGATCACACACTTTGCTTAAATTATGCTAAAACAGTGACATTTCATTTCATCTGTAAATTTCACATAGTCTGATGAATCTATCTTCTTTCAACTCTTCATCAAAGAAAAGAAATAGAATATGAAGTTAACATCTACTGTGTTTCAAAGGTTGCTTAAGCCAGCGTACGATTACAGGCGTACGCCGGCTTCTTATATTGTAA